CGGATGCTCACCTGTTGACCGGCGCGTTGCTCTGAAAGTAGCTTTGTGCTATCTTTCTGCGCTCGTGAGGGTGAACTGACGGTGTACCTTGTGATGTTCTAGGGAACTGGTCAGGAGGGTGGTCAGGTATGGCCATGCGAATCAAGATTACGCACTACAAACGGATGGCAGTGGTGGAGGTAGCGGGCGCCTACCTACCGGCGGTTGGATAAAGTCGTGAGGACATCGAGGATCGAACATGCAGAAGTAGATGGAGTAACCAGGAAGAGAAAGGGATAAGGGTTTGCTCCTATCAAAAAAGAGGGTTGCAGTTACACGTTGCTCGACCCACTTAGGGAGCAACGACGGAGGTAGAAAATGACGAGGAATAGAAGGGGGCGAGGGAGTACATACCTGAGAGGCCGAGCACGGCGGTGCAAAAGAGGGATCTGACTGTTGGTTGGGGAAGTTGAACGGAAAGGCAGAGCTGAAAGGTAGGCTGCGGGAGTAGGGAAACTCACCTGTGGATCGGTGGGCCGCCTGTTCTCGACTATTGGAATAGCGAAGTAATGAAGGGATACCCATAGGGCTTTGGAGGCTTACCTATCGGCCAATGCACAATCCACCCTGCTAGATGAGGTAACCAAAGAAGGATCGGCATCTGCAGGCACGGTTGTTGCTGTTGATCGGAGTAACTTCTAGAAGGGGAGCAACTACTGCTGATTGTCGTTGCTGCTGCTGCTGAGGTTGGTTTTTCTGGAGGGCGGTGTTGTGGCTATTGCAGGGCTTGTTGAGGACAAAAGAGTGATATGCAGAGAGGTGGTGCTGGAGATTGAGAGTTCATCGGACAGGTCGGCTCTGCAGTTGGCTGAAGGTGGTCCAAGCGGGTTTACTTGACCACCATTGCGGAGCCGTTAGCGTTCGAACCGGTGAGAGCATTGCTATTGGCAACCACCTGAGTGAATGGATGCGGAGGACTTAGTTGGGCTATGTAGTATGCTCGAACCTCACTGTTGGAACTGCTGTTGTCTGCTGTTGGCTACTGCATCCGTGCACGAACTGTTGGCTGTTGCGTATTGTTGCCTATTGCTGCATACTGCTGTTGACTATTACAGACTGCTATGCGGCGGCGATTAGGTTGAGGAGAGGTGCTGAGACTCAGAGATTTCGGCAGTTTGACTTCAGAAGCTGGTCAAGATGATACTATGCGGCCATCATTGCGGGGCCCTCAGGCGAGTGACACGATTGCCACCACAGGTATGAACCTGTGTACCACCCACTCTCAGCAGGGAGCAGAAGAGGGTGTGGTTCTTAACCACACTTGGCGGTTATCCAGCGTCGAGAGATTAACCCTCAAGGCTCATGTCAGCCGATACTTGAGTGTCGAATGCGACCCTCGAGATTAACGAGGACCGCATGAGTATGGGTACTACATAGTATGTCATCATTGCGATCGTTTGCGTACGCTTGCATTGCGAATCGATATGAGTTAACCCTGCGTCCGCGCGGTTTTATACTAAGTCTCGCGCGCGACGCCTATCTGATTTTCGCGTCAGAAAGTTATGGGATGACTACTAAGGGACTAGGAGTGTTGTCGCTTTGTTTGTTTTGTGTCGTTCTGTATTTGTATATGTACGTGCGTATATGTGTGTGTTTTTGTTTTTATGTTCTTAGAATGGTATGCGCGTGGTGTGTGGGATGCGTCCTAGTCGACCGACGACGGGTCGCGCTTGGGACTTCAGCCCCCCAAGATGCAGATTCGCGTGCGGGTTCGATAGAGGCGTAATACCGCGCGTACCCCCTATACTACAGCGAACGAGAAACGCCCTCGGTTGGTCCACCTCTGCGATTGCAGCTGATCAGCTTTCGTACTGTGGGTTGGTAGCTCGGCGGGGATACGCCCACCGAAGGGAGGTGACAGCTCCCATAAGGTGGAGGTAAGTCGTGCCTCGCGTAGGCCCTATCTTGTCGTAGGGGCTCGCAAGAGGTATGGCTGACGCACTCGGCCGGAGCGGCTTGCGGAAGCTCCATGTATGCATCACGACGAGGATTAGAGTCCAACTCCTACGTGACGCGGCCGGGAGGGTCCCGCGCTGCCCTTGTGCGGTGCCGGACCGATGTCACAGGCTTGGTCTGTGATAAGCCTAAACCAAGGTCCTGGACCGGACTGCACTAGCAGGTGCAGCAAGAGGTGGGAGAAGTCTCCCTTGACAAGTTTGTTGAAGAATCCTTTGAAGAAGAAGGCCAGGGGTGAAACGAAGCCTGGTAGTCTTCCAAGAGAAGGAAGATTTTCCGCCAGGCTGAGGAGACCACCATTCACCCAGAACTTGGAGGAACTGTCCCTGGTTGAAGTTAGGCAGAGTGAAAAACAGTAGAAAAGTACGCGAAGATCGTGCGCGTGCTGCTCCCTGAAGTTGGCCAACTCCGCGCTTGCCGCTGTCTGCTCCTGGATCGAGAGTGAGTTCAGACTTCGAGTGTCGAATTCCATCAAGGATAGGAGAAGGTTGGAGTAGAAAGAGTGCGAGAGCATTTCCATCGCCTGGTTCCGCTTAATGAAGAGGAAAGATTGGGCGTCATTCTAGAATTTGTAGAAAACAACCTCCTCTGCGAATTCCAGCAGATCGGAGGTGACGAGATTGGAGCTGAATCTCCGTTCGACGAAAGCTGACTGTAAGGAGGTGATTGAGTCCGGAATGATGAGAGGAAGCGAGAAGATGTGGAGAGGAAGCAGCGAGGCCGAAGGGGAATCGAGAACGAAGATGCACTGAATACTTTCGTCTACTGCGATTGGAGGTAAGGATAAGGAGGACCGCAGTAGTGTAATGAGAAAGGAGAATATAGTGGCTAATTTGGCATCCGGGATGGGTTCTTGGGATTGGAGTGTGAGGTTTGAAGGGAAGAAGGAGAGGAGGAGTGGGCCGAAGAGCAGAGAGGTGGTAGGGGGTTCACAGTGGAAGGAAGCGGAAGATGGAGAAGCGGATGAGGCGCGTTGCTGGTGGTGGCGAGGTTATGAGGCGGGGTTCATCTGGTGGGGAGGTTGGTTTCCAACTCTGCAAGCAGACGGGTTCATGGTGAAAAATGGAACTGACTTACCGGAGGAGAGGACTGGCTGAGAGGACTAACCGAAAGAGACCGCTGACCGACTTGGAAAGAGAATGGCGACGCGAAAGTTGACTGACGACTGCGAGCCAAGGGACTGCGACCAGAGAGTCCCCTCGCCAAAATTGGCGAAGGAGAAAAGACTTCCCTCAGACCGGCTGATGAATTAACCTGTGCACTTGCAGGTTTGCGTACGCTTTGAGCGCTGCTGGAGGGCAAACAACGGAAGGAGGATTGCGGGAACTTCAACAGATCCAACAAGTCCAGCGGCCTGCTTCCACTGCTGCGCTGCCTATGACTTATACTATCGCCAAGTGTGGGAGCAGTGTTGTTCGGGCCGGCGACGTCCAGATGCATCCCGGGTGAGTGCCAAGGTCTGTAGGTCCCCGAACCTCCGGTCACTGAGTCCAACTGTCCCGTTACTGAGTCCAACTGTCACGTCCGTGTCGTCCAGGTACTTAGCCCACTGCTCCTTGATCTGGTTGTTGACCCGTCAAAACTTGATCGTGGAGAGCAACCGCTGAATCCGTCGGGAATACCAATGAGTGTCGGAGATGTCCGAAATCCAGGGCTGTGAAGAAACCTTGCACTGGATTTTCTAAAACTGCCGATGCGTGCGGTTGTCGACTAATGGCTAAAAAGGCCAACTGGAAGTGGTTTGTAGGACAAATGCAGCAACGCTCAGTGCATAGGCGAATCTGCAGGCACACAAGTCACTTCATCAGCCGGTCTGAGGAGAGTCATTTCTCCTTCGCCAATTTTGGCGAAGCGGGCCCACCCGCCCTCAATTTTCCTGCGGTGTGTGGGCCTGCACAGGGGGTGTGTGGGCCTGCCGCCCCCTACCTAAGGACTCTACTATTCAATCCGGCATCATCTATGGTACACAATTTTTCCCTTTTATTTGGAAGGTCCTGTGCATGAAGTTTGTCAGATTTACATGCTAAATACGGGGACACATGGACAAGTTGCCCAGTACCTTGTAGGGGTATATGGAAAAGATGACAGGTCCAATTGGCTAGGGGAGTATTTTTCAAAGTTTCGCACTGTCATAGGGGCATTTCGGCATACCCATGCCTTTTAGGGGTATCTGAAGAAATACCCTAATTGTCAGGGGCATTTCAACAAATTTTCCAAAGCGAAAAATGGGCGGGTGCACAGAATTCCCAATACCCCAACGGAAATGAACTTTTTATTTTGCACTGTAAACAGCGCCGGGACCTTGTCCCACCAGCATCGTTGAGGTAGGTCATTGTTGGACTATTCAACCACGAGCGACGGCGCGCGACAGATACGATGCATTGAATCCTCAAAATCGCGCGGCCAAATATTGAGGAGCGGGCCCCACGAAGGAAAAACACGTTTTTTTGTTTAAGAGAAACCGTGAAAAAATGCGTCCTCCCGAATATAACACCCCCTACCCTTGCCCTCCGTCGTTGAGCTAGCTGACGCGTTTTTGCGTCTCAGCTAGCTCAACGCTCCGAAGTCTGCGGAGTGCGGGGATTTTTTTTTATTTTATTTTTTTGCCGTCATTATTGCTTGCGTCAAAGCAGTTTTCGACGTCCGTTATTTATGGCACTCTTCGTTCAGCAGCCTCATCGTTTCACACGGTCTGCTTTTCATAATATGACCKATCTGTGGATGTATCTCTCATTGCGTCCATATTCATGTGGATATGCTTTTGTGTTTTTCGGTTGAGGTCCCCATTCGTCCGTACATTACGTGCATGGGAGACATATGTGGATCATACACATGTACATGCACGCCGACTGCGACTACGTTCATTTGCCAGTTCAGCGGTACATCTCTCTCTCTCTCTCTCTCTCTCTCTCTCTCTCTCTCTCTCTCTCTCTCTCTCTCTCTCTCTCTCTCTCTCTCTCTTCCGTGCAATGCACAGATCGTTGTGTCCCTCTCGTACGTACCGAGGAGCACCCACACACACACATTGCACGATCCATCTGTCGTACGTACAATGCAGCGCACAACTTGTTTGTCTCTTCCGCTTTCCGACGAGCGCCAACACACACGCTGCACGTCTTCCACGCACGGCCTTGCTTCGAAGCCGGCATACACATGGCAGGTTCCAACGATCGTCTCGGGCTGTCTAACATCGAAGACTGGGGGTTGACGCCCAGCTCCCAAGGTCACGATGCGGACTGCATGCAGATCCCGTATTCGCAGATTGACGCGGCGTTTGGTGGCAGGCGAGTGACCACGGTCGATGGTGATGAGGACCAGCTACGAGAGAGTCTTCGCCTACGTGCCATGGCGAATGACGGGCATCACGGTTTGTGCGGCGACTTCGCAGCAGGTCTATCACTCTCTCCCACACCATTGTCGTTCCCCTCGCAGTTTTCGATGCGGCCTTCAGCAGAAACCATGCCCGGGACACCTCAGGGCCGAAGGACCGCATTCGACACCCCTGTGACCCCTTTGCACATCACGGCATCTGCGCCTTCGGCCATGGAGTCCCCATCGGTGGGTTGCGGTTCCACCCCCGTGTCCGCGCACAGCTCTCTGCCAGGTGGATCTGCGGCAATGGGAGACAGGGGTGGCCCAGCTAGTCCATTGACCGTGCGCAGTGAGCGGCTATCCAACCATGTCAATGAAGTCAACGGCCAGGTGTCGGGCGGCGGGGCAGCTTGTCCACAAAGGCGCACAATTCTCCAGCAAATAATCCATGACATTGAGTTTGGAGATGTGGATCCCACAGCGAACAACCGTCCTCGAAGTCTGCAGCAGCAGTTTAATGGCGCATGGACACAGACGCCTATGCGAGATGGGTGTGAAGGCGGAGGACTTGGTGGCGGACTGCAGGGATGTGCCAACGAAGCCGGCATACGCACTACCCGCGAAGGTTCACGATCGAGCTTGTCAAATGCGTCGGCCGGAGCGTCGGGCCCATCCGGGGACAAAGTCGTGCTGCAGGAGGGCGAAGTATCTGGAGCGCCGGCTGATAAGGGTAAAAAGAAGAAGGCTTCCAATAGATGGGCAGAGAAGGAGACGACAGTGTTTCTACGGGTTGTGTACGAGGTGAAAATGGGCATGGGGGAGAACTCCGAAGCCATGGGAATCGCTCCTCTGAAGGTGCGGTTGTGGGCAGATGTGAGTGCCAGGATGAAACAGGCACACTACGTGAGAGAAGACGATGAGTGCATGAATCGGTACCACTTCGTGCGCAACAACTACAGGCTTGTGAAAGACCACAATCGGTGTCCTGGCAGCCATAAGTACTGGACGATGGATCAGGCGACACGCAAAGCGAACGGCTTGGACTTCCTGATGCGACGGGAGTGGTACAACATTTTACACATGCACGAAGGGGACAAGGACACAATCAACCCCAACAGTCTAACTGATCCTGGAGCTGAAGACCACAACAGGGCGAACTCAGAGGACAGCGATGTGGACGAGGGTGACGATCCTGCGGCCGACGACGAAGCGGGTGATGTGGGATCGGGTGGCGGGGATGGAGAGGGAGGAATGGATGGATGGGGTGGAGGGGGGGGGTCTGACGGGGGTGGAGGGGGGGGGTCTAACGGGGGCGGAGGGGCGGGGGG